TAAGTCACTTGCAACTGATCCTCGCACTTATGACTGTCATAGCATCCCCACAGTGACAGGATCAGAATTCGGGTGATTGGTAACTGGCATCTATTTACAATGGTTGTAGCGTCCTGGCACTGAGAGGTTCTCAGCTGGTTTCCAACAAACGAAGCCAATGGGGGAAGCAGGATTTGCTTACTGACTGCATGATTCACTTAACAGCTGCAGTGATTCACTTAATAACAGTGGCAACAAAGATCCAGGTGCAACTCGCTTAATAGCCACCTTGCTTATCAAAAGAAATTCTGGTCTCAAATCTTGGTCACCAGTCAAGAACTCTCTGTAGTCCCTCTTTGGTAGCCAAAGCAAAAGTAAAATTGCACTAAACGCTCCATGCATTTTATGAACATAGAACAGTAGGATTGGAAGGGACCTCGGAGGTCTTCTAGTCCAACCCCCTGCTCGAGCAGGAGACCTTATACCATTTCCAATAAAGGATGGCCCAGTTTCTTTTTGAAAGCTTTATGAACAAGCTGGATTCTTTATGAGCAAGAATCTCTTTATGATTTCTATGTATATTATTCTATGTGTTCATGAAGAATTTTCTCTCTATGAACAAGCTGCATTTGAACCTAGATCTTCCCTTCATAAAGACAAAGCAGATGGTGTAACGATCCCAGTTCACATTAATCCTGGTGGGTAGAATTTTATATCTGCAAACAGGCAGCCCCGCTGCCACAGCCACAGCCACCAACAAGGTTCACCTGCCTGGAATCCACACTGCATAACGGACATTAATACAATTGAGCGAGTCCGGAGGTCTTTCACGAGCAAGAGTACTCCACTCCTCTGCTCGCAGTAGAACACCTTATGCTACCAGGCTTGAAATTTTGGACCTGGCCAACCTAGAACTACGCCGCCTATGGTCTGATCTAAGCTTAGTACACAAAATTGTCTGCTACAACGCCCTACCTGTCAACGACTGCTTCAGCTTCAACTGCAGTAACACACGGGCAAACAACAGATATAAACTCAAAGTAAACCACTCCAAACTCGAAATACGACCTCAGCAACAGAGTGGCCAATGCCTGGAACTCACTACCTGACTCTGTTGTTACATCCTCAAACCCGCAAAACTTTAACTTTAAACTGTCTCCCGTGGGCCTCACTCCATTCCTGAGAGGTCTGTAAGGGGGCGTGCATAAGCGCACCAGCGTGCCCACCGTCCCTGTCCTACTGTTCCCATTCATTCATACTCATTTATGATGCATATACAGATACCTGTTTATACGTATATGTTTATATGTTATGCTGATACTTATACTTGTTTTCTCATGCATGCTTGACAAATAAAATAAATTAAATAAATAAAGTATAGTACGCTGTTACTGATGCTTGGATGAGTGCAGGTAGTCCTCAACTTACCACAACTGAGCCCAAAATTTATGTTGCTAAGTGAGAAATTTGTGAAGTGAGTTTTGCCCCATTTTATGACCTTTTCTTGTCACATCTGTTAAGTGAATCACTGCAGTTGTTAAATTAGTAACAGGGTTGTTAGGTGAATCTGGCTTCCCCATTGACTTTTGTTGTCAGAAGGTCACAAAAAGTGACCCTGCAACCGTCATAAATGTGAGTGAGTTGTCAAGCATCCACATGTAAATCACGAGACCATGGGGATGCTGCAACGGTCATAAGTGTGAAAAATGGTCGTAAAAATCACTGTTTTCAGTGACGTTGTAACTTCAAATGGTCACTAAGGGAACTGTTGTAAGTCGAGGACTACCCTGTATCCTACAATTTCGCAGGTTCCTGAACAAGAACAGGGAACTGGGTGGTGTGAACACCTCCAGCGTCCTGTTCTTTTAAAAGTCCTGGAGAAGCAGTAGCAGCAACACTGCAGAACAACCAACAATCAAAGGCAGAAGGAGAGCTAGATTTTTTTACCGGCTTTAATAAGAAGGAACACCTTATTCAGAAATTGCATTTGCCAGCTTGAACTTTTATTTATTATTTTTTACAAATAACTCAGGGAAGTGAACATCCCTTCCTCTTAGTGAGTTAGTTAGTTTACTTTATTGTCAAGTGAGTTTACTTTATTGTCAGTTAGTTTACTTTATTGTCATTGCTCCTAAATCAAACACCATCTTCAGTGCACATCATGACCATGAAAATAAACACAAACACACATCTTTCACACTCCACACATTGAATTGAAAACCTCTGTCACCGCACCAATACTGCACTATACAGCAGAATTCAATAGAGTTACTGCCCTGGGATAGAAGCTGTTTTTCAGCCTATTTGTCCTTGTTTTTATTATCCTGTACCATCTACCAGATGGTAATAGTTCTGGGCAAAAGGTTGCCCAGGATGAGATGGATCTTTGAGAATGTTTTGAACTTTCTTAAGGCAGCGGGGGCTATTTTTTCTCTTCCTATTTTCCCCACAACAACCCTGTGTGGTGAGTTGGTCTGAGACAGAATGACTGGCTCAAAGTCACCCAGCCGGCTTTCAAGACGGAGGTGGGACTTGAACTCATGATCTCTTGCTTTCTAGCCTGGTTAACTTAACCAATAGACAAAATTGGCTCTTTTGTTTGGTTTCTACCTGTAAAAAAAAAAAAAAAAAAGTACTTTGCACCTTTGCTAGACAAAGGGAGTTAATTAGGACCACATATTTCAACTGTCAAAGGAAAACCCTCCCAACTTAGAACTTAAAAGGCAATAAAGCAATCAAAATCCACTTCCTTCTCTGCACCCAATTCTATGGAAAGTAGCACGCACAAGCCACAGTTTAACTGGCCAGGTAATGACTTGTTACAAGCAGAACTGATAGAGCGAGAGGGGGGGAAAAAGACACTTTATCATTGCATCTATCTTTAGGAACTGCTTAACTTCCAGTTTTAGGGATGCTTTTCAAAGCAACAATTTTGTTTATGAGTGTAATTGTTTTAATTGCTGTTTTATTTTGTAAGCCACCCGCAGTCAACTGGAATGGGTGGTTATCTTTACATCTAAATAATAAAAACGATCGCTTGAGCTGCTGTTTTTCAGCAATACTAAGCAAAAGCAGAGGAAAGGAACTCAAATGTAGGTGAACCACTAATTCGGAGAGGATGGGAGGAGAAAGTTAAAAACGTACATTGCACCTCCAAAGTTCTTCTATCCCAGCCACTATGGAGAAATCTCAAAGCTCACTTCTGGAGGTCCCGGGCCCACAGCAAACCTCCGATTTCAAAGGGGCAACCTCTCTTTCAGGAGGAACCTCCATCGTCTTTGATCATCATCAATCTTCTCTAAACTTTGGAAAAAGTTCAGAGAAGAGCAACTAAGGCCTGGAGGCTAAAACATTGGAAGAACGGCTGCAGGATTTGGGTTTGGCTGGTCTAAAGAAAAGAAGAATTGGGGGGGCGACATGATAGCAGTATTCCAGTATCTGAGGGGCTGCCACAGAGAAAAGGGGGTCGAATTATTCTCCAAAGCACCAGAAGGCAAGACAAGAAGCAAGGGATGGAAACTAATCAAGGAGAGAAGCAACCTGGAATTAAGAGGAAACTTCCTAACAGTGAGGACAATTAACTAGTGGAACATCTTGCCTTCAGAAATCGTGGGTGCTCCATCACTGGAGGTTTTGAAGAAGAATCTAGACAGTCACTTATCTAAAAATAGTATACATTTTCCTGCTTGAGCATGGGGCTGGATCAGGGCTGTTTTAACGCATGGGCCTGATGGGCATTTGCCCGTGGGCCCCACGAGCATAGGGGCCCCTTACTAATCTGTGTATGTTAACCCTTCAATGCACCTTGTGTCATATAAATACAGCAACATATTTATTACATTTTACTGCATTTTTTAATTAATACTAATGTGCAAATATGTGTTTAATTTTATTGACCATTTACATTTTTAATTCCTGTGAGTAGTTGTCGTAGGGGCCCCAGTACACTGTTTTGCCCAGGGCCCATAATGCTGTTCAGGCGGCCCTGGGCTAGACTAGAAGACCTCCAAGGTCCCCTTCCAAGTTCCAAGCTCATTCTATTCTAAATTCTAAAATCACTTTAGGAGAGTCTCACCTGCCACCCTCTGGATGAGTTGGGACTGCAATTCCCAGAATTCCATTTCCTGACGGTTGGGGGCATTCGGGGGGGGGGGGGGGTGCCGTCCCGGGGCTGAACCTGGAGGGATCCAGGTGTAACGTGGGAAAGGTATCTTAGGCTGGGAGGTCGCAGGCTCATCCGCACGAAGTGGAGCCCCTGCAAAAACGCCAAGTGCTGGCAGCGGGAAGGCGTCCCCGAGAGCCAGAAGGGGCGAGGGAGGCGGTCTCCGGGCCAAGGCGGGATTCCTAGGCGGCAGGAGGGCGACCCGGGACGCTCATCCCCTCCACTCGGGCTCCACCGCCGGAACTCGCCACTTCCTAGCCAAGAAGTTGGAAGGCGAAGCAAGCAAAGGGGAGCGGTGGGGGGAAACAACGGGAAGCCCTGGAAAGAAGGCGGCGCTTTGGGGTGGGAAGAGCCGGGATAGCCCTCCGAGGCTGGATGATCAGCCTTGGTAGGACCCGCACCTGCCCCCCCCACCCCCCCCCCAACCCCGGATTTCGGAAACTCGCGGGTCAGGCGGCTCTATTCTCACAACCCCCCTGGAGCCCGAAAGGACGCAGAGCAGCTTTGGGAAGCGCCACAAAGGAGGGTCCTAGTTCAGCAGGATCCCCCTGCCTGCTGGATCTCTCCCACCCCCTCACGACCCCCGTCCCTCACCCATGCCTCAGTTTTCCCCCTCAAGAAAATGGAACAAGAGCGATTTTTTTTCCCCCGGAGCCTTTCCAGCCGGGCTTGCCCTGAAGCGGCTGAGCGGGCGGGCGAGGCGGACTTGCCCTCTTCAGGAACAAACTCAACCGGCCGCGAAGGGGAACCGCAGGGCGCGCCACAGGCGGCTCCGGGGAAAGCAAAGGAGACGGAGGACGAGGAGATCCAGGGAGCCCCCGGCCCGAGTCTCCCGCCCTTCCCTTCCCTTCCCTTTTACCTTGCTGTAGAGCTCCGTCACCGACATGTCCTGGCCGGCGAGGCGCAAAGCCGAAAGGGCGCAAAGCCGAGCGCGGCGCTGTGGCGCCCTGAGGAAAAGTCCGGAGGCAACTCCGAAGCATGCAAGGCGAGCCTGAAGAGCGGCCGTCCAGGCGTTGCGTGTTGGTGGCGGCGGCGGCGGCGGGGATAGTAGTGGGAATCCAGGCGGGCGATGCAGGTCCGACGGCCGGCGCGCTCCTCGGAAAAGCGCCCCCGCGCGCGACCTTTGCCCGGCCTCGGCCCCGACTTATTTACCCAACGGCCGGCGAAGAGCGAGCGGCAGGCGGAAGGTGGGGAGAGAGAGAGGAGCAGCCGCTGCCCGGCGAGGCGGGCGGGCGGGCGGAGTCGGGCGCCGCTCCCTCGTCGCCAGGTAGGGGAGGCGGCGCTGGGACTCGGCGGGGAGGGGAGGCGGCCGCCCGGTTCCGCTTCCCTGCGCGCTCGCCTGGTTGGCGCAGGTGGGAGAGCCGGGCAAGCCCGCGGGCACGGCTCGCCCTCTGCCGGCCGAGCCCGGGAAGCAAGTGCGCGCCGCGCCGTCCGGCCGCCCCCTCACGACGATGGCGCCTGGCCGAGCTGAGGAGGGCCGGCTTTATGCCCTCGAGGGGGAACCCTTCGGCTCTTCACGCCTCGAGCGCTCCGGTGCTCCCTTTCCTTTAACTTCCCGGGCAAAACTGCGGCTTCATCACCAGCCATCTTCGCTTCTCCAGAAGGTCCGGAGGAAGCGCGGCAAATTTCCTCTAAAACAGAACAAAACAGAACAGAACAGAATAACAGAGTTGGCAATCTTTTTTATCAATAAAGCATGCGAAATGCTGGGGAAAGCGGGGCGCTCCGGAGTGGGGAGACGCATCCTGCCCCCTGGTCCCATCTTTTTCCCCCCTCATTCCTCTTTTCCTAGCCAGGATCCAAAAGATGGCAAGCCCCGAGTTTCTACCTATTACAGTAAGAAGGCATCCTGAAGACCCTGGAGAAACCCCCTTTGTCCTTCTGGGGGAACATTAGGAGCTCTGGCAAGATCAGAGGGGTCTCCAGGTGGTCCCAATTCCCACAATTCTTCTTGGCAAGGGAGATGCCAAGCCCACCCATTGGAGGGTGCCAGGTTGAGAAAGCTGCCTTCTCTTTTCATGATTCTTTTAAAACTCCCCTGGAAGGGTCTGTCAGACAATTTTGCCATCTGACCTAATGGAGAGAGAGGGGGGGAGAAAGGGAAAGTAAATGGATGGGGAAGGGAAGGAAAAGAAATAAATGGACGGAAAAAAAGAAGGGAAGAAGAGGGGAGGGAGAAATGGGAGAGAAAGGAAGAAAGGAAGAAGAGTGGGAAGGGAAAGGAACGGAAGAAAGGTGAGGAAAGAAGGAGAGAGAAAGGAAAGAGAAAGGTGGAAGGAAAGGAAGGAAGGAAGGAGCCTCTCCCTCTTCTTTGGATGACAATAGGACAGATATTACTTCTGTACATAAATTAGACATTCCCACAAGTTTTGAAAGATTTCTAGGCAAACGAAAGAACAAAAACCATAGTTTGGCCTCAGTTGTATGTACAGGAGGTATTTCATGAATGTCAGAAACTGCCTTTATTAAATCAGTTGCTTCTTCGTTGCATCACATGCTGTGAGTAATTGAATTAAGCGTGGGAAAACCAATGAACAAGAGAATCCCACATTTTGCCTGACGTGCTTAGATGCTACAGCATATGTTCATATCGGAACCATTATTTTGCTGCTCTTTCTAGCATTTTTGGGAGTGTGAATATGCACATAACCACACACTGGCACTGGCAATAAATATGGACTGGCTCAGTCATATGACAAATGGCTCAAAGAGTTTAGAAGTCAGAGATTGTCAGTCCACTTTACCTGTTACTGAGGGCTAATCTCTCTCTTGGCTGCATTCACGTGACACAGTGAATCACAAATCAATGAGCCATATTTTAGCCCAGTGTGCTGTGTGATTCCAATCTGTGTAGTGAGGTTATAAATGACAAGGTCCTGCAAAAACGGGGGTTTATATCCGTCTTGAAGGCTGGCAAGATCTCAAAAGTGTGGAATCTTTGATGTGATATTCCTTTTACTTCAAATTGCTGCTTCTGGATTGCACTGGAATCACGCAGCACGCTGGGCTAAAATATGGCCCATTGATTTTGAGAGAAGTAATCAGTTTAATAAGGAAAAATCCACGGTTCCTGGTATTCATGAAACACCTGTACACACACTTTTCAAAACTGTAGCAAAGTTTGTCTGGATTTTTGTTCTTTTGTTTGCCTGGAAATCTCATTCATTGCTTTAGAATATAGAATAATAGAGTTGGAAGGGACCTCAGAGGTCTTCCAGTCCACCCTCCTGCTCGAACAGGAGACCCTATACCAGTGGTCACCAACCAGTGGGCTGGGGACCACTGGTGGTCCGTGAGAAAATTTTGGTAGTCCGCAGAGAAATGTCACCCCCAAAGCAATCCAGGCTGCACAGGAACACAAAGAGAAAGGAAGACTTCTGCTGCTTCTGCTGCTTTCCTTGCATGAAGCCAAAAGTTTCTCTCTCTCTCTCTCTTTCCCAGAGAATGGAGCTGAAGACAGTATCCTGCAATCCCAAATAAAGAATGATCGATCGGTAGGAAAATGGGGTGGGGAATTTTCCTGCAGATTTTTTGGGGGATTTTCCCAGGGTCTCTGGTCCGCAGGATTTAAAATTATGAGCTTGGTGGTCCCTGAGGTCCAAAAGGTTGGCAACTCCTGCCCTATACCATTTCAGACAAATGGTTGTCCAGTCTCTTTTTGAAAACTTCCAGGGATGGAGCACCCACGACTGAAGTGTTAATATACCACTTTATAATGCCTTGGTAAGGCCACACTTGGAATACTGCATCCAGCTTTGGTTGCCACAATGTAAAAAAGATGTTGAGACTCTAGAAAAAGTGCAGAGAAGAGCAACCAAGATTATCTATTTATTTATTTTTCAATTGCTTACAAGATAATAGGTATAAGTAAAAACATAGTTATGAATACATGGATACATATAAGAAAAATAAAAGAAACAATAGGACAGGGATGGTAGGCATGTTGGGACTGGAGGCTAAAACATACAAAGAATGGTTGCAGGAACTGGGCCTGGCTAGTCTAGTGAAGAGAAGGACCGGGGAGACAGGAGAGCAGTCTTCCAATATTTGAGGGGCTGCCATAGAGAGGAGGAGGGGGTCAAGCTATTCTCCAAAGCACCAGAAGGCAGGAGAAGAAGCAATGAAAGGAAAGTAATCAAAGAGAGAAGCAACCTAGAACTGAGGAGAAATTTTCTGACAATTAGATCAGTGGAACAAGTTGCCTCCAGAAGTTGTGTATGCTCCATCACTGAAGGCTTTTAAGAAGAGATTGGACAACCATTTATTTGAAATGGTGTAGGGTTTCCTGCCTGAGCAGGGGGTTGACTAGAAGACCTCCAAGGTCCCTTCCAAATCTTTTATTTTGAAGGTAAGTTATTCCACTGGTTAATTGTTCTCACCGTTAAGGAAATTTCTCCTTAGTTCTAGGTTGTTTCTCTCCATGGTTAGTTTCCATCCATTCTTTCTTGTCCTGCCTTTTGAGAGCAATGCACTTCTTATATTACTCCACAGTGATTTATGTAGAGATCCTCAAAAATCATTCCAGCCCAAAGTCTGAATTTCATGAGACGTCAGGCTGGATTTTGTAGTTCAGTGGTTAAAAATGACCAGGCATCTAATGACTAAAAACGCTGCTCTGTAGTTTTAACGATATGCCGAGTCAGATATTCTTTTCATTCTACATCAGTGTTCCTTACAGATGCTTTTTAAATTAGTTCTCTATTCTAAAGCACTGGAGTGAGATGAATCCCTTTGAGGTTGACTTCTGGGAACAAAGGGAACCGTTTAGAAATTGCTTTGATTTGGGGGTTAAAAGGTCTGCCCATCTGCCCAGAGCCATATAGGAATATTGGATGTGGCAGCAAGCTTGCGACCCATTTGCTGATACCAAGGACTGTCAGCAGAGGCATGGAGGGACCGTGGTTTATGATGAACACAGCAAGAAAGTTCACAGAATAGATGGTGATGATGGAATTGCTAGGAGTAGACGGAGCATCAGTGACATTATGTCACCTATTGAGTAGTTGTGCAAAGAGAATGTGCTTCTGTCTCTGTTCCTGACATTTTGTTTTTAATTTTAAATTTTTATACATAAACATTTTTAAATACACCATTTTGTCCAAGTCTGTTATTTACAAAGAATAAGAACCATAGCTAGTATTCTAAAAAAATATTGTCCCATTTTCTAATAAGAATACTTATAATATCATAATATTGTAGTTATACACCATCTCTGTTTTTAATAAAAAAACATTCATTGTTTTCTTTCTCTAATTTCTACCCCTTTGTCTTTAACCAGCCATAGAATTTACTCCATATCAAGTAGTATTCTGACTCTTCTTTTTCTTTTATTTTTAACCTGTCCACCTCAGCACATTCTAAAATTTTACTAATAACCTCCTCGTCTGGTGAAGAGCACTGGTGGGATTCAAAAACTTTTACTACCAGTTCTGTGGGTGTGGCTTGGTGGGCATGTAAAATCTCCATTCCCTCCCCACTCCTGGGAGAAGGTTACTACAAAATCCCCATTCCCTCCCCACCCCACTAACCTGCTTTCCAGCTCCGTTCTCCTGTGCAGGGCAACCAAAGAAGACCCAGCTGATCAGCTGGGACTCAAGAGGCAGAGAAGAGATGGGGGCTGGGCCAGTCAAGGGTAGTAGTTGCCATTTCTCCGAACTCCTCAAAATTTCTGCTACCGGTTCTCCAGAATTGGTCACAACCTGCTGAATACCACCTCTGGTAAGGAGGTGCTCCTATCATTCTGAATGACAGAATAACAGAGTTGGAAGGGGGCCTTGGCGGTCGTCTAGTCCAGTGGCCCCCAACCTTTTTTGTGCCACGGCCCAGTACAGGCATCAGCACGCATGACCAAGGCAAGGCGAGCCGAGCGACCGGCCAGCCAGCCGTCCCCCGCTTCTCCCCGCCACCTTCAACTCCTCCTTTGTACCATTTTTGTGCTTTTTTGTGCTTTCTTAATCTCCTCCACCATCGGGACTCTTCGTTCGAAGCCACCCCTCCCTTCGATGAAACTAAGGCGCGAGGATTCCTTCAGGACTCAAATGCCGCTTTCCAACCGGAAAAGCTCACCGGAAGCACTTTCTCGTCGAAACAAGATGGCGGCGCCCAGCAAACCGGCGGCCCAGTAGAAAATGATCCACGGACCGGTACCGGTTCGGGGCCCAGTGGTTGGGGACCACTGGTCTAGTCCAACCATACTCTCAAGCAGGAAAGCCTCTCTTTGCCAGGGCTGTCAAA